ACAGGCCTTCTGAAGTCTCTCATGATTTTTCTTCATAGAGAGAGTGATGGGTTCAGGGAGTGAGGCAGGGGGAAGGGGGAGCAGCGTAAATTCGGCAGCTCACATGTGAGCTCCGGCGAGAAGTCCATCCACCTCGAATAAGATAGGGAACGTAAGCGCTATATTCACTAAAATATTCAATTTTGATGCTGAAGTTGCACACATCTCATGTATATACTGTAGTTAAATGATCGTGCCGCAGAAGGAGAGAAAAAAAAATTGAAAAAGCTATGCGTCGTGCTTTTTTGGGTGCCGACACTTGGTCGTCGTTGCCCCGAATACTTCACACAAAAAATTGTCAAAAAAAACTCAAAATTCCCACTGAGAAGTTCATACTTCTGGCTTATTTTCATACTATTCAGGTTGGCATAGAAGGTACGCACCTCACACTGTATTGCACAGAAAATGGTACCTAAATGACCAATAATCCCATAACAAAACCTTTTCTGCCACCAATTCAGGATGCGGAAGATGGACAGCAAAAATGTTCATTGCGTCCATCACGAAGGCAGACTTGCCTCGGGATATGCGGTAATTTCTCGGGCAGATAAACTGTTGATCAGGCACGACCTGCTTTCCCATACTGCAGGGTTTGCTGGACGAATTTTTCACTAGGCTCATCACCGCTCCATTGAATCTCATCGCACGAACTTCATTCTTCGACAGATTATTCAAGGATTTATGAAGTGATCAAACAAAGAACTACGCAGTCCTTCAGCACTGCTCGTAGTTTCCAGAGCAATCATGGCAGCCCCAGAGAAACGATGAGATAACTCAACATACACTTACATGCTTTTCAAGAAGATAGATCAGAAACTAGAGATGGATCAATCGACAGCTGTGCTTGACAGATGCAATCGGACAGGACAGATAAGACCACAGTCCTTCATAAAACTACAGTATGTCAGTAACTCAGAGTAAGAAGACGTCATTCGGTGTTAGAATACACCAGATAAATTCCTGCAGATATTACGCTAATTTTCACAATAAAATTAATTGAATGTTCACCATGTGCAAATGCAACGAACAAAAATAAGCGAAGCTCAGGACACATTCGCCATTGATTTTAGCCACACCCAGCAGACGCAGATAACATCAATTTTCACATGTAAGAATACATGCTTGTATTTCATATTTGACAGAAAGATCTTGAAGAATGATGTTGCCAGAAGTGAAAGAAAACGACGCGTTGATTTTTTTCCTTCTTTTTTAACCAAGACAGAAATTCAACTCCCTTTATTCTGACATTGTCGCTCGAAGTTCCTCCCAGCTCCTTCTGCTACGCTTCCATCCCCGGGATCCAACACACGAAAAAAAAAGCAATGACACTTCGTCGCGTAGAACAAGCCTTCGTTCTTCCAAAACGCGATCGACCAAAAAAATTTTTTTTGACCCCGCAACACCCAAAACGCGCCTTTGATACCTCCCCAGAAAGGAAGGCAGGTTTCAAGAAAACGTTAACGGGACGAGGTGAGTGATCGGGGTGACCAATGATGGATTTTCCACGCGTCCGTGTCATCCTTCCTTTCATCCAAACTTACGACCCCCACTTTTTATTTAGTTATACACAGGGACTCGCAAAAAAAAAAACACACATCACGAGGCTGAAAAAGAGGGAGGGTGGGGGTAATTCACATCATCCTCCACCTCACAATAATCCTCCAAATTCGACTCTTCTGCCGGAAGAAATCTTATCCTAGAAACTCAAGAAAAAGAGGATCGCATTTAAACAAGTAGAATTCTCAAAGATTAATCAATCTCAAATAGTCTTCATGATGCAAAAATAGAGGAAAAAAAGTTCTTGATTAGTCTCGATTTCGGAGGATTGTTGAGAGACGATTCTAAAACGCGGTACATTCAAGCGATTACATATAAAGCGCCCCTGGCGGCCAACAGGGAAACTTACGTGTTACACACACGAAAAAAAACAACCCCCTACCCCACACGCTGAAACCTGCATCCCCTCACCGTCAGCTCCCCACGAATGGCGGCGATCAAGATTTAAAAAAAAAACCCGTGCGGAGACAAGCCGGACGAAATGCAGGTACCATATGATTCGGAACACATTCACTCCCCAACTGCTCGATCCACAGGCGAAGGGAAACAACCCAAAGGCGGCAAAAAAAGAAAAATTACGCAACAAAAAAAAGAAAAAAACGAGCTGCGGTATCGAAACACCGAATCGCGCCTCTGAAAGAGCCATCATCAGATCACAGCAGTTCTACACCCTTTCCTCCGCCCCTCCCCAACTTGCCAAAAATCTGCTCCACATTTTATTCCCTCACCTCTCCCAAATAGTTCCCAACGCACGTTCGGATCACAAAATCAACTCCCAAGGAAAAAAACCTGAATACTGGCAGCGTATATCGGGAAAACGAAAAACAAAAAGGAACTTGCTCGGCAGAGATCCCACCAAATATCCTTTCTTCCCCTTCCCACCCAACATTCTCATAAAAAAAATCTCCCCACCGCGAATTAAAATCAAAAAGATTCTCCATTCATGACTGCGGGAGGGAAGCCGTGATTTCTCAAATTTTTCTTTCTTTCTCTCTTCGTTTTCTTTGGGTCATCGCGTCACAAATCTGCAGGAAGATCGTCAGCGCCCGTCCTTCCGATTCCACGTCCACCCGAGGGTCGCCGAGTCTATCACAGACCTTGACTGTACGCGCGATACAAAAATTGCGAGACATTCAACTGCGAGTCCTTTCCACTCAAACGACCCACAATAAAAAAAAGTCTGTCAAAATCCGCCCCTCCCTTCGTTCAGAAAAACAACCGAACGAACTAGCCTTCATTTTCGAATCCTAAACGTCGCTCTTGGACCAGAACAAGACACATTTTCTTTCAAGGTACTTGCAATAACCTAAATTCGACTTCGAGTCGACCACAACACAGAAAGGCTTGCGAGCCGTTCACGTGGAAAGAACCGAACGACCCCCTATTTTTTCTCGCATATATCGCACCGCCACTCAGTGAACACACGAGCCGCAAAAAATACGCGATTCTTCAACTCCCTGACGCGAGATCAAGGACACAGCGAGAAGCCTCCACGTCGCGCGTCAAACGAACAAATCCGAACAAAAAGCGCAAGATTTAAACATAACCCCACCCCCCTTTAATTTCTCTGTTTCTTCTCGAAACGAAGTCTCGTTTTTTGGCAAATCTCTTCCCCTTCCCGTGCATGAGTCGGGGGCGATAACATTCTCCGTCGTCCGCCCCCGTTACTGAATAGATCAACTGTCTCGCCTCTCAGTTCCACCGACCGGAGAATTTCCACAGACCGCCGAACTTCCGAAACCTCTGCCATCATCCGCATTATATTTCAGAGGAAAAAAATTACGAACAGCTTATATATGAAGTACCTTTACCGTCTTGAGAGAACTCAAAGTTTCCGCAATGGAGAAGGCAGAAGTTCGGAGGCTGGTCAACGGACACTCCGACCGGAAAAACCTTTCGGCAATCCTTTTTTATCACAGGTTCCGCGTTGCCCCGCGAATTTGCCAAGAAAAAGAACCGAGTACCCCGCAGTGACAAAAAAAATCACGATTTCCGAATCCGCTTTGTACCACGGGCTTCCCTCCGAGAGATAGAGGAAAAATAAAATAAAATAATTCAAAAATCAGTGTGGGCCTACGGGATATGGGGAGTCGAGCACGAGTTCCCAGTGCACGCTATCACATGTCGGCGATCGTACAAAACCGGGGACGAACTGCAACGTGGAGATCTCTGCCGGGGACCACTTGCGCCGCCGAGTCAGAAGCAGGAAAGTGACATGGAATCACAGCAGATCCAGCGCGAAACAACGCCAAAAAAAATTATCGAATCCGGGCCGGGGAAACGGGAGGAACATCAAATGACGGGGAGTCGAACGCACGAAGGTTACGTGGTCCACACACTGCACTCCGCTTCTCACGCTGGCGAGTTTTTTCTTTTGAACAACAAAAACACTTCCCTTCTCGACAGCTTTCTCACACATCACTTCTCTCTCAGCAAAACTGTACTTAGATGCGAAATTCTTTGGCAACCCTAGTGTTCCACCACAACTTCCAGTTCCACGGGCGAGTGGACTCCGATTTTTCTCTTCGTAACAAAAATTTTCTTTTGCCATCCCTAGATCCTCCGCAGACCTTCTCATCATCTCCAATTCTCCTGCACTCACAATCGCACTTGTAACGTAAGAGGGGCGAAGAAGACGAATAATTTCGACGAAAGTTTAAAACGACCTTTTGCAAGTGCGGGAAAACCGATGGAGTCGTTTGAGAAAAATCACTGGAATGACACGGGGAGGACGTACGATTGCCCGAAACTGGAATTGCCGACGAGAAAGGGATGTGAAGAGTGAAACGAGAAATTTTCATAACCTAAATCAACCTCACCAGGGACCGCCTGTCGCCAGTACAGTGTGTGGTTCCTCCATAACAAACACCCACAATTTTACACACGCGGGACACCAGGACAATCTTTCGCGTCTCGCACACAAAATTTTCTTTCTTCTTTTTCTGTTTTTCTTTTTTACTACAAGAAACCAGCAGCGGGCGCGAGGAAAAAAAAAACAATAAAAGACGCCAGCTATGATGCGCCACCCGCCGCCGGGATTAAATTTTCTTCATCGGGACCTGACCGCACATCCACCCATCCAGCCGCGTGCGAAAGTTTCCGCACACATCCATCCGACTTTCTCTCCCTCTCTCTTCTTATCCGTCGCACTTGCTTTCGTTCTTCCTATCGTCCCGTCCAATACCGCTGGACTCACTGGCCCCACCAATCAGTTTGGCCGCCGCCAGCGTTGCCCGTGTTGTAGCTTCCTCCGCCACCACCGTACGCGTTATAGCCATACGTGCTACCACCACCGCCGCCGCCGTAACCACTTTGAGAATAACCTTGTACTCCTGAAATTCAGAAAATTTCAACTGAGTGAACAGAATCAAAACGACGCTCATTCATACTTTTTGAAAGCAACACTTCAATAATTCCTTTTACATGAATGACATAACACTGCATATATCAAGAATCTTTACATTTGATAAATTGAAATCTATACGATAAATCAACTTTTACAACCATAGCGTAGAGGTCATAAAAAAACTACACATACCTTAAAATGGAAGTGTCACGATTAAGTTTTCATTCTTAAAAATTAATTTAGTTTTATTCTATCTTGAGCAGAGCTCGGGCAGAGAAACTGAGAAAGTGTATCCATTGCACTCACCACGATTGCCATAACCCATGGAGCTGCCGCCACGGCCACCGCCATTTCCAGCACTTCCGCCTCCTCCACGGGTCTGAGTACGGTAGTCCCGACTGCCGAACGTGGTGTTAAATCTACGTCCGCCGCGGCGATTTGGGCCACTGCGGCCACTGTCACAGGAAACGGAGTCCAACCACGTCGGCATATCTTGTTTACTCTCCGAAAGCAACTCCATCAATTCACGCGCAATATTGCGGTTCTTGTCGTTGAAAAAACTTGTCGCCACACCTACACAAATTGATCGAACAAATGAAAGTTTATTTTCAAGTTGCTCATACGAAAACGCAGTACAGCGAAATTTTGTTACAACAAAGCGTTCGGGACCTTAAAATCCTTCGCTATACAGTCATGGAAAAATCTTTTAAATGAAATTCAAATAACACTGGCTATGGGCTAGGGACCAAAAACAGCCATCGTTGTAAATAGGTTATACTGCACTGTCATGGGTTCGTTCATTGTTCATCATGGTAGAAAGAACAAAAAGAGCACAGCGACGGTCACGAAAATTGTTCCAAGTGCTTATAAATGTCAGTACAGTAAAGGAAAATTTATTTGGAACTTCTTGTTTCGGGACACGGAAATTGGTGACGAAATCTTACCCAGGTTGCCCATACGACCAGTTCGCCCAATCCGATGAACATACTCGTCGAAATCGGACGGCAAATCGAAGTTGATGACATTCTTCACGTTAGGGATGTCGAGGCCACGAGCAGCAACTGCAGTGGCGACCAAAATCGGACACCTGCCAGCGCGGAAGTGCTTCAACGCCTCCTCGCGCTCGCGTTGCGTCCGGTCGCCGTGAATCGACGTCACTGGGTAGCCTTCAGCAGATAGAAACGCTTCTAGCGAATCCGCGCCCTTCTTTGTCTCGACAAATACGAGAGTGAGCGATTCGGCTGAAAAAAAAAAATTCAAATCAAAATTGCATCAATCTTTCCAGAGCGACGATTCTTTCAAAAAGAGATTTTCTTATCCGATCAACTGTTGGAAAAAACGTAACTGTGCATATTGAAGAACAGAATTCTCTTTTCGGCTACTTTGCGATTACAAAGACTTCATCCAAATTCAACCTTCCCTTTAAATCCCACTGGAACAGCCACAGAGCCATTATTGATTCACGAATCCAAGACGAGAAACTCTGCTTCACTACTGTAATTCGTTTTAGGTCAGAATTTACGGACTAATGACAGAAAAACGTGAACGAATAATGAAACAAATGAATAAAAACCCGGTTTGAAATTGAACACATCATATCAGCGTGAGTTTCTTCAGTGTAAGGACGTAATCAACTTCCTAAAACGCGTGCTTCACTTTCACAATTTAAAAAACACTACTTTGTATCTACACCAACTCAGACTAGAAAAACACTGAAACTCACGCTTGTGCTGAACATCAGCAGCTGAAAGTAAGTCGAGAAGATGATCCCGCTTCTCATGCTCCTCCACCCAAACGACCTTCTGAGTGATGTTCTTGGATGTGGAACCAACCCGCCCCACAGCCAGAAAAACGTAGTTGTTCAAGAAGTCGCGAGCAAGCATCTGAATCTCTTTGGGAAATGTGGCCGAGAACATGAGTGTTTGCCTCAACTTGGTCGGTGGCATGTTATTCTGATCCACAATCCTGCGGATTTGGGGCTCGAACCCCATGTCCAACATTCTATCGGCTTCGTCCAGAACAAGGAAGCTAAAATGAAAAAAATCCGTATCAGCATTCTCGAAAATCGTTTCCTTACAGCGTCACCGAGACTTGAAAAAAGATATTACAGAAAAATGAATAAAAAATGATACTACAAAAAACTTGAACTTCCCTTGAACTAAAAATGCGTTCTAATGGTAGTTCTTGTAACAAGATTCTGGTGTACTTCGCACAAAAAAGGGTAACCTTCGAGCATTCAACTCTGAATTCTAAAAAATTAAGCCATAAACATTGAAAAAGAATTAACATTTTTGTTACTTCCCAAGAAGCCAGAGCAGAATTTGGACATCAATCCCTTACAGCATTTTTATATTTTCAAGCTCACTATTAATGAGGATGTGTGACAATCAGTTCAGTGGAAAAAGCGAGATTCCAAATTAGAGGTACTGTACTTTTAAGCTAAATAGGAAGCAAAAAATAATTTTGTCACACGGAAGCCACGAAAGCGTATGTTTTCTTTAAAATTTCCCCGAACTTGAAAAAAATCCAACACATTACCTGCAGTAGTCCAACTTGATTTTTCCGCGGTCTAACAAGTCAGCAAGACGTCCAGGTGTTGCAACCAGCAACTGGCATCCCCGATCCAGGTCATACATTTGAGACTTGATATCTGCGCCTCCATAACTATCGAAAGAAAAAACGTGCAAGAATCAGGAAAACGTGGATTTATTCTCAGCCATGAGATAAAAAATACAGTGCGAAGGAAAAATATCCCCAATAATACGAAAGCTACACTTACACAACACAAGGTCGAACTTTGGATCGATACGCGAACTTGCGGGCCTCATCGAAAATCTGCGAAGCCAGTTCTCTTGTAGGCGCCAACACAAGCGCCAGGGGGTATTGGTACCGGCGCTGGGCCATATACTGCTTGTCCGCCGGCGGCCCTCGCAAGTACATCAAGTTGAGGATGGGCAAAAGGAATGCCGCCGTTTTCCCCGACCCAGTCTGCGCACAGGCCATCAAATCCCTACCACCCAAAATAATCGGGATCGCGTGCTTCTGAACAGGCGTTGGCCGGTCGTACCGGCACATCTTCACATTGTGCGCCACAATTTCCGTCAATTGCAGCTCGTTGAACTAAGGAAGACAGGATTAAGTTCGATCAAAAAAATGTTCCCGCAATCACGAACACGCATTACACGTTACTATACTTTCAGTTGATCGAACTTCCAGAATTAATACATTTGTGGCGGGAAACATCAAATCACTCAAAAATAGCCTAGCCATTGATGATCAACAGCGGATTTCATGTGAATGAGAGTATGATTCGGCAGAAATTTGAATTCCAACGCAAGCGACGGCGAGCTTTTCAGCAGAAATGAATGCAAAACTTTTCGTAGGACTGCAGGAAAACGCCAATGGGCACGAATTTATACAGAAAACACAACTCACGTACATTTCATTGTCCAGTTGAACCTTGATAACTCTAACCTCCCTGAGCCAAATTTATTTTTGATACCCTCTCTGGTTTTCCTTAGAAACAATGCATTAAAAATTTCTCAAACTTGGAAGGCTTTCCCTTCAAACCTCCATAACTCGAATTTTCAGAGGTCTTTCAACTAGTGCATCATTTTATTAACACAGGAAAGGAATAAGCAATAAAAATTTAAATTTGTGTTTGTGTGTGTAAATTAGTTTAACACTAATTGGCCATATGAACTCTGGCCTCCAACTTCAGCATTCTATCAACTCATGCAAGAAACAATTTGTGACTCAGAATATGAGAAATTATTACAATATTCACCGTAATTCTTTCTTTCCCACAGTAAAAGCTTTTTCTTCAACATAAAACATCCCTAACTTAAAATATTTTGCTGGCCACTTGAAGTTCAGTCGTAATAGAACAGGACGATGTAAAATTACGGCAGTTTTATGCATAGAAAACTTGCCAACCTCGATTAGGGAACGCTTCAATTTTAGAATGTTATGAAAAATCATCTGAACCAAGCCGAAAAAAATCCTGAGAACACCTTTCGAAAATGAAATACAGTACGTTGATCAGACTTGAAAAAGTCTGTAAAAACAAGAAAAGATCTAAAATAACTCACGCTGTTAATGTGCGGCGGAACACTGTCGCCAGTAGCTTCAACGGGGATGTCCTCGTACTTGTCGAAGTTGATTCCAGTGTTAATCTCAGAATATAGCTCAGTCTCCAGCCGCTTCGTCTGCGGCAACATGACCGTCCAATCGTCGCGCGACGAGTTATTCCAAGTCTCGTTCCGCACGCCATCATATTCTCGTCGGTTATCCCAGCGATCAGCAGTCTTCTGCTCCTTCTGCCCCTGGGTCCACTGCTGCGGCTGCTGCTGCTGACGATTGTCCCACCGCTGCTCACCATATCCTTGACCACCACCTGATTGGGAGTTGGGGGTCAAACATTTTACTTCATTGTAGAAGGGAACTTTGATAAGACAAGCAAAGAGCCACAATCCATGAAATCTTAATATGAGAAAGTTTCAATGCACGGAACGATCAACTGATGTTACCTTTCACCCTCAACAAAGATGTGATGCATAGCTTTATATTTCCAAGCACCTGCCCTTCACAATTTTGCCAACAAGTTCAGCAACGAGTCAACTACATACCTAAGTATTCAAGTTATGAAAGAGCTTCGACACATCGATGTTTCAGAGTGCGTCATTCAAGAGCTTCCAAAAATCCACCAAAAAGTTAACCATGAGGTACTTAAGATCCGGGTTCTTCAATTCAGGTTTCACCAAAATGAGACTTAAAAACTGAATTTTAGAACAGTTAGTGGCTATATCTCAGGAATTTCTATTTTGATTCGATAGCTAGTAAATCTTTCACTCCAGATTCTACGAAGATCAACCGGATATTCCAAAATTTTTGTTCAACTCGCGTACTACTAATGAATTTCAAAACTCTCAATTAAAACGTTCCTCGAAACAGTTGTCTTCATAATAGCACGAACCTTCCTGAATCGAATTTTTTCAAGTCCCTTTCTACATTCTTTTGAAAACAATGTACTGTACTACATTAAAAAACCTCCAAAACTCGAAGGCTTCTCTCTGACCACCAAAACTCGAATTTTCTGGTGGCCTTATGACTTTTTCTTGACAAAGGGAGAGAAAAGCAGTAAAAATGTAACCCAATGTGATTTGAAAAGAAGTGAAACACTAATCGGCAAATGAATCCTTGCCTTCAACGTAAGCATACTGCCAACTCCTTCAATACGAAATTTGAGGACCAGACTATCAACATTCACCATTTCCTGCAATATTTCTTCTACTACTTTGCTGTTGCCTTGAAATTCGACTCAATCAGTTTCGACTGTAACTCTTCCAGGTTCGTCGATCAAAATACATTCTTACCTCTCGAGAAACCAGAACGGAATCCGCCACGACCGCCACCGCCATAGCTTCCACCACCACTGCCGCCACCGCGTCCGCCGCTGTACTGTTGTTGCTGCTGCTGCTGCTGTTGAGGTGGCGGCGGTGGCGGCTGACCATTGACAGCGACGTAATCTGCCTGATTCGGGATCATCCGTGGTATTTGTGGCGGAGGCTGAGACGCGTCGAATCCACGGTTGCGCATGTGTGGTGGCACATACGGTTGTTGCATCGGCATCTGGCCAACCAGGGCGCCTCCCGGGGCCCCTGCGGCAGCATACCCGTTCTCCCCGTTGTTCAAATCCAGCTCAGCCATCTAAAGACCATACATACATTGAAACGACACTCCGAATATCACTTTCCCGGAAGAACAAGATTTCAAGAATACCGAATGGGTAAATCGAGGGAAATAAAATACTCTCCGATACGCACATATCGAAGCTTTCGACAAAAAAGCGAAGTACTGCTCTTCACAGATAAGTTCTATTCAATTCATACTTCCTTTGCCCTTATCAAAAGAAACGCCATAGTATGTGCTACACTATACTGCAGCACTATTTGAATCGGAACGATTTTGAACTCGCGGTTCACGGACAACCTGCCCCTCCACACGATAAGAATTTTCGCACGGGAAAAGTTCCCCCACACCAACAACGTGGTCAAGAGTTTATCATTCAGAGGAAGAGATCATACTTACGAAAAATACGGATGATTATCGCGATACAATATTTTTCGTTCTAGCGCGCAAGTCCGGAAAGGGGATGGAACATGATACAAGAAACGGAAATGTGCAGAGGAGATTTTATCTACATACGACCGACCACCAACATGACAGAACATAAGCAGAACGCAAACCGGAACTTGACGCCTCAACGTGTCACCCGAACTCCTACAACTCAATAGGGCCTTGAAGACAGAAAATCATCCAACGAATTACGATAATAATTCATGAAAATAAAACTCTCGCACATACGATAGGACACAAAATCGGAATTCCGATTGATTGAACTCTTGGAAGACCAAATATGTTCATAACGTAGGCCAAACTAGAATACGAACTCAGCTATTTTTCCAAAAGAACTGTTCAACATTCTATGAAATAAGGCATAAAATACAAGGGTGAACAATGATGTACAGTACAGTACTTGATTCAAAGGAAATTCGGTCAAGAAGTTCATTCATGTGGGCAAAAAGGAAGAACAACGGTAAAAGAGCACCGCCTGATAAAACGTAGAATACCCCCCGGGGAAAGAGAATGGAACAGTGGTCTCCACTAGCCCAGATGAACACTTTCTATCACACCATTCAAGCACGTGTTAACAACAGAAGGCGCTAGAACCGAAGCGGACACCAACAGAGATTAGCAGGCGTGCGAGGCTTCATGAGTCCGTAGAACTCACCTTCGGCGCAAGGTTTTGGTAATCAAGGCCTAATTGATAATGATGAGGGTTCGGGTGAGCATGAGGCGACGGCAAGTACCCGCTCCACGGCTGGCCAGTAGGATCCACGGCTGCACCGTTTCGCGGTTGAAACTGAGAGTAAAACATCTGCATCTCACGTATTTTCTGGATCCTTTGAACGTCCATTCTACGACTGACTCAAATTAATTGTCTCGTTTCCCCGGCCGGGAATTCACAAATGAACAAAAAAACACTCGACTTCTATCAATGCGCTCAGGAGTACACCCAAGCAATTATCCTAATCTTCCCCGCAAGAGCTTTCTTTAAAATAATCGAAAAGAAAAGTGCTCAACAAGGCGGGACAGCGGGAGAGAATCTGCAAAGATATGTGACTTCCTCTGTTTAGAACCTGGAGCAACGTCAACCTAAATCGCATCATACAAAGAACACAAAACTTACCCGGTAACTGAGAGCATCATGATGGTTGTAGGTACTATGCATTGTACAACCACGCTATAAATCTTTGCGAGATTCTGGGAGATCGAAAACCTACGTGGGATGTTGGGAAGCTGAATATTCGCGAAGACTAAGCTCCAAGCAACACAAACGTAGGAAATCAAGCGTGGGAAAACAGTACCAAGAAAACAACTTGCACCGAATAATCAAGGAGATCTGGGGATAGGGAAAACTGAAAAATAAGAGTATATCGGTTACATAACATGAACACATCAGATTTTCGCCTCGGAAGAACTACACAGCCGCAATTCCGCACAACCACCGTTCCGCACGAAAGTTCCGCTCATTTGAGAAATCACTTCTCAACTGCAGACACGTTCGAGCTCGCCCCGCAAATCCATTCACTGTACAAGCGTTTCAAAACCTCGAGAAAGAAAATGCAAGATCCCTGAATCAACCGCGGACAGCTGAACCAACCAGTGTCACTAAACTTCCCTCTCAACGAACAACTGATTTCGGGTAGCCATTACATGGGCCGCTAACAATGGTGAGAGCGTCTTCGACTTGCGCTCTAGTTCTTCAGCTGATGTACTGTTGCTAGGCAGTTCCACTGTTATGTTGTACCTTCCTTACCAAAAAAAGCGATTTCATCCAGGACATAACCGCTTGTAATTACATAGTGAATAACCTTATTATCAAAAAATCTACGAACTGCCTAGAATTCCCCTGAGGATCCAGGATTTGACCCATATCCGTATTTCCAACATGGCCACTACAGGCAGACTCTTCGTATAGGAATACGGATGGCATGAAGCGCGGATTTTAAATTCTTCGCTGAGAAACAAACTCACCAGAGGGTATATTCGTTCTTAACATTCGGCGTTCAAAATCAAAGCGCAGTCTAGCACAACAGCTCTAAGAAACGGGAAACGATCAGCAGTAGCGTCCGTTCTGCCGCACAAAAAGAGCGATTAAACGTAATAAAAGTTGTCACATTTATTCTCTTTTGCACCATCCATGTACCATATGAGGCTCATATATGTACCGAGAGCGAATTATTAGCAGCCATGAAAACAATCGAGGCACGTTTCCTGTACTTTCACAAAGTTTTATTTTTCTTGCGCATCAAGCGTGACAATACCCATTTTCATGCAGCATCAAATATCAGTACAAGAACAGGATTATTGCACCCTGCTTAAAATTATTCATAAAAGTTGAGTCAATTGTTAGATCCGCATCTACATGGCATTCTACAAGTGCACAAGGCCAGCAATAGGTTGTTCATTTGGGACAGAATTTGTTCCAGCTAGAAAGTCAACCGGCAGTCGATCCCGCTCCTTGTGCTCTTCAAATAAAGGAACAGCAGAAACCGTCGGCCCTGTCGTGGATTCATCAGCAAGGGACGTCTCTTCCGTTGTCACCTCAGTATACAACTCCTGTTCAGTAGTTGAGTCGTTTTCCGTATCTATGGCTTTCTGAGTGTCGGCCAAGTCCGACGCAACTGCTTGTGGTTCAGAGGCGCTATATTCAGGCTGATTTACACCGACTAAATCTCTGTTAATCGCGTCTCGTTCTAACGGCAATGGTGAACCATGAGAAGGATCAGCAGCTGCATCGTGGGACGTTTCTACGCTGACCGCGGTTTCTTCAACATTTGGAGCATTCGGACGGGCTGAACAAATGGAGACGCCAGTCAAGTAAACGGCTAATAATACCTGCAAACGGACCAAAACCATATCGTTTCAATCAACGAACGTTTTGAGACATAATATCATCAACGTGCTGCGAAACTCCGTTCCTGAATTTTTTCAATTGTATACACATGATATTGAAGAAAAAGAAACCCCGTTTCCGCTATATAAATAAACAATTCAACACTTCTATGGGAAAATCGCACGCGATTTTCAAAATGATGAGTTAAACTCCGGCGATATTGCATAATACGGAATCTCACCTATGACTTAATTAAAATTGAATTTGATATATACAGGAATATGCAAATGGGCATATAACTTACTCCAAAAAACTTTTCTACAAAGAAATTAATACAGTATACTCACTGATGTATATTGCAGGTTGAATTGAAGGCTCCATGATAAAATCCCATAGGAGAAAAAATCCCGCGGCCCAAAAATCCCGTAGGCCGAAAAATCCCACAGAGTCCGAAAATCCCGTAGGTACAAAAATCCCGTATAAAACAAATTTCTGATATTATCTCCAAGTTTTCTTTCCAACTGCCTGGGAGGAATGCGAATATGGTGGATTATGAAATGGGGAAAGTGCAAGGGGTTTCTTTCCAAGGATTTCCAAGGTTTAGGAATTACCTTTGTCAATAAAGCCTCAACTTCACTTCCTCACCTTTCTCCTGAGGAAACCTGAGAAAAATGTAACCTTCATTTGGATCAAGACTTCGTCCCTGCATTTGTTTTGTATGTAAACAGTTCACTTTTTTTCAGTTCTACTTTGCCCTCAAAACATACATTTTTACATTAAAAAAAAAACCTACCTTTGATACCTACATATATGGTGATGGTCTGTAAATAACTTCAAAATCATCAAATAAGTCTAAATGCAGTTATATAAGTATATTTCATCTTGTCAAATTTCAATTTCAATGTACAGCAGATGATAGAGCATGCAATTTTTTTTTTAATTCAAGGACCCATTAAACTTAACAAGTTTCCCACCCAAAGGCCACAGAAGAGTAAACGCAGTTGGAAGGAAAACTCAAGAGATAATATCACAATTTTGTTATATACGGGATTTTAGTATCTACGGGATTTTCGGACCCCGCAAGATTTTTTGGCCTACGGGATTATCGGCATCACGGAATTTTTGGGCCGCGGGATTTTTTCTCCTACGGGATTTTCTCCTGCACCCGAATTGAAGTACATTACGATACATTACAGCTGAATAAGAGTGTACTGTATTTCATTAAATTTATCTCTTCAGAAATTTCCAACGTACGAGGAATTTTTCTATCACTCGATCATTCACTTTATTAGCCTATATTTGTTCATATTTAATATACCTTCGAAAAATGAACCAGTCATTGATAATGCAAAAATGCTCCGTTTTTCAAGTACAGTACATTATATTAAATTTCAACGATGATTCACTCCATACTTCAACAAAAATCAATAGATCTCGAATTTAGGCCTCCTTATTCAACTCGAAAATGTAACTTATTTTAATCTAGAAAAAAATGGCTCGGGTATCATTCGTATCGGACCAACGTTTTTCTCCAGAACACTGAGCCCGGTTTTACAAAGAAGATCGTCGAGTAAAAATACAGTATAGTTCGGATACTTCGGAATACAATAATGCACTAAATACTCACGAGCTTCATGTTAAACGTAAAACTGCCGACGAAACACGAAGACTTCCGATGAAAATGAGCAACAGAAGACGCTTCACAGCCACACAGAGCAACCAACTGACGACCCTTTCTTCCAAGGTGGCTCCTAAATACAACTAGTCGAGAATTGCTTCCTCAAACTGTCTTCCTGCGCATCCATGACCTCAGGCCTGGAGTTCATGGGATTTTACGGGGCCCCGCGGACTCGGATCCCTATCTCCGTCTTGTACATATACCTGATTTGGAAAGCGTCTCACGTTCTTTCGTGATTCAACTTCAAGATGATTCCACGAATCGTGATCAATAACTTCGCAAACATAGCAATAAAATATTATCCATTTAAACAGTTTATAGTTTTCAACACGTGTTTGATGAAAATAATTTATTACTGTATTTCTTTATCAAACACAAGCAAAACTTATGACGTTTAATCCAGTCCCAGAAATGAAATGAGTCCTTCTGAAGATCACCGAAAGTCATTTCGCACGGCGAAGTGCATTTTTTAATGCGTCAAAAATGGTCATCAGGAAGTACTATAATCGAAACTGACGATGAAAATCGCATTACAAATTTAGAGTACCAAGGACGGTAAGAACGCCGTCATTAGGAAGAAAAATGCCATCTTCAATTTGATCCCATCGATGCATACATTACCGTATGGCTCTAACACGAACAGATTAGATCGGAAGCCAGCATGCAACAATATACTTGCGGACTCGTTTCCTAGAATAAGTTTTTAATTACGCAAGCAAATTAGAGGCAAAAGTGGCGAAAGAAGTTCATCAAGATCGAAGAAAAGATTTATCGAAGTTCAGTATCAGCAGATACACTTAGAATTCAAAAATATCACGTCAAATGCCTCACGAATTAAAAAAAAAAAAAAAAACCGTCGTTCCACAACCATTCATATAAGTTGCTGAAGAAATGCTGACGAAGTTTTCTAGTGCGAAATTTTGCGGCGAGGATCACAGGAATAGATCATGAGTTCGTCCTTCTTTCCAATCACACGTTCACCAGTGTCCTGGAAGGAGAAAATGGAATCTTCAATACACTCTAAATACAAATAACACGAAAAAATTCGGGAACAGGGAGCAGAAATGAATAGTTTCTGCTGAAGTCCCTAATCTATGATTGCATCCTGATGATAACAACTCCTATGCTTAGGGCGTCGGAGGTTTTCCAGGGAGTTGTGGAAATCTAGAAAATGACTACTTGTATAACTACCTAGTGCCAGCGCCCCAGCTTCCAACTCCTAACATTTTTGCTGGGCAGTGTCCTGGAAGGAGAAAATGGAATCTTCAATACACTCTAAATACAAATAACACGAAAAAATTCGGGAACAGGGAGCAGAAATGAATAGTTTCTGCTGAAGTCCCTAATCTATGATTGCATCCTGTATAAGTGTATACAGTTCGGACAAATCAAATTCAGGCCAGGNCAGTGTCCTGGAAGGAGAAAATGGAATCTTCAATACACTCTAAATACAAATAACACGAAAAAATTCGGGAACAGGGAGCAGAAATGAATAGTTTCTGCTGAAGTCCCTAATCTATGATTGCATCCTGTATAAGTGTATACAGTTCGGACAAATCAAATTCAGGCCAGGAATTATTGCTGGAACTTCATCTAAGTTAGACCTACACATGTTTCAAATATAGGGAACTTCCGTCCATTACCAAGATGTCATCCAAAATTAGGCATTTCATCGAAGAGATCGATTACATCGTTCAACATTTGACCAAAAACGGAACCTAGACGATAATCCAAAAACATTATCATTAATAAATCGTTCCGAGAAGTACTTGATTTGCATGCCTGATACCCAGTCTCCTTCGTGTTTTCCAAGATGAAGAAATGATGATCATCGCATACCAACTACATTTGCATGTACAGTATCTAGGAAAGTAATTCAAAACGTCATGTAAGAAATATTTCATGTCCCGGAGGAGGTACTGTACATGAAATATTCACCCTTCGCAATCAACGTCGCAACAGAAAAAAAAAGCAGATACCTCGGATTCACTCACCTCCGTAATATGAGTACGGGTACTTGCGGTACCTGCGCCGACGCCCGTAGAATCCACCCCAGCCGTGTCTCTCCAAGTCTTGGGGATCAACGCCCTGATCAACTTCAGTGGCGACTTCCAGGCCATCTGAGGGTTCTTGCGGCGCCGGAGGGGCACCAGCTTGTCGACCTTGCGGCTCTTCCATCGCTTCGGATAACGCAATTACGGACAGGCCGACAAGCAGGAATGCGAACCACTGAACAAAAATCAAACGCGGGCCCATGAACGTCAGTCCGAACAAAAGCTATTCATCGCATCTCCCTTTTTTGAATCACCGATGAATCATTCACCATATCCCATTTAAATGTCTTAGAAAGCAATGCTTGATCACCATGGAAATATGAATTTAGACTCATTTCAATTTTCTTTCGAGTACAGCTAGTATACTACTGTACTTTTAATCGTGAGAGTAATAGATTGCTTTCATTCTACAATTCAGAACAACTAAACAAGTGTTTTTCTTTTCCAATTCTTGAAAATATATTACATCAATCGGGACCAGAGATAATTCGGGAGATAAAATCTTCGGATGTATACAAGTACAATGTACTCACTACTTATAATTTGTGCTTGAGGTTCTCGAAACAATCACGGAATCATTTTAAAAAACGCTCTTGAAATTCAAGGGATTTATTAGGACTGGAAGGTAATATTATTCGAACTATTCAATAAATTACATTAAGAATTAAACAGTTAGACTCCAAAGCAAAGGATGGGTTAATCGAAGTTTTATGCGTTTAGTTTGGATAACGCTTCAAATGTTACCATAATTCGTATAGGTACGTTCACTGATTTCATGATTTGGAAGAACATATAGAAACTGAACTCCCGTAGTCGAGATCCTGAAGACTCAAAAATAAATATCGTGCATCTTTTCCTACAAATAAGCTGAAAAATAAATAAACGACGCAACGTTACTCACGAGTTTCATACTGATGCTGTATAGAAGCTTATTCTCGACGATCTGTTTTCACGAAGACGAGAATCTCTTTAGACGTTCAAGTGACGAATGAAAACTTGACCAACAAAAGCTTGCTTATAAACCCCTCGAAATCCAAATTCTATCCAAGCGTTTTTGGAAATCCCCGTAAAAAAAATTAGGGTTACACGAAAGTCGGAATTCCGGGAATTACCAGGCCTGGATTTTCCGCTACTCATCGCCGCAATAATTACTTCTCGGAAGCTTGTCCTGAGATGAACGCAGATGGCGCTATTCCAATGTCTGATACGGGGAAAACCCCGAAACGAGTCAGGGATAATTACCCGGTCCAGGGATTGGTTGAAGGTCAATGCCAGAGAACCGCAAGACGGACGGAAATGCTACGCTTGGGGCGGTAAACGTTCTGGTCTCTTCACGTCAGTTCTTACACATAAATGATAAGAAAATCAAGCCATTCATTGAGCAGAACACTTCTAATAAAAAAAAGGAATACAGAAGCATACATAAGCTTCAAGCACCAGTACATTAAGTGATCAACTCAGGCAAAGGAAAAATTCGATCTGTTGACACCTTTGGATCAACGCTTCAAATTTTTTGATCAGCGATTAAGTCCAGTGTCAGGTATACCCCGGTCAACAGACGCTTCGTATAGTGAACTTTTGCTCAACAGACTCCTAATGATCATCCTTGGAAATAAAATAAGTTGACAAATTTAACTCCGACCATAATTTTTTGATCGAAGCTTGGATTTTCTCCGGTCTGTTTTTCCTTATTTCACTCGTTCAAAGTATCTGAGCCATTTTTAGTAAGTTATTTCAAGAATGCAAGGCGTAATTAAACCCTCAAGAGTATCAAGTAATTAGGATTTTACGGCGTCTGGAAAAGATGGAATCTTTCTTCACTACTTTTAGTCGGATGTCTCTGGACATATTACATTTAAATTAAATAATATGCATATTACGTAATACAGTATATGTACATTATATACTGTTCAAACATAACATAATACTGTATAACGTTTTATGTAAGGAGTGCATTACATTCGTAACGTTTTCCCGAACACAGAAAAAGAAAATAAAACAAAAAATCCTCTTCGTAAAGGTGAGTATAGATAGTCTTCGAGGTAAACGTCGATTTCCGATACGGCCAGGCAATTACGATGACCCTTCAGTCTTTTTTTCGTTTTGTGAATGATCCGAAAGATTTTTCGTGTATTCATTACATATTTCATTTTTCCTGTTCAGTGAAAGAAAAATCCCCTTCATGGAAAATGTCAAGAAGCATGCAGTGCAGTTCCTTCTTTTGTGTACTGCTGTACCATGAAAGCACTGCAAAAATATGGAAAAACAGGGTTCAAGTACCTTAAAAGTCGAACAAACGGTACTCACAATAGATTTCCATCATCTCGAAAGTTCATTATCAACCACTCACTGAGACCGGATGACAAATAAACCAAATTGATCCCTAGACATTTCTTCTAACAATCCCAGGACCACAGACCTATCTCGGTGTGCGAACGACACCACAACAAGGAGCAAATAATTTATCTTTTCATCACTTCTGAGCATCATCGGGCGTGTAAAAATGGCGACATTTGTCGAAGAACACTTTGAATGTCCGATCTCTGAGGATATCCTCGACGTAGAGTTCCGAGCGGATCAGACGTAACTGAGGAAACACATTCCAACCAGTTTATAAATAAACAGCTTCAATCAAAACAAAAAAAAATGTGACATTCATTTGTTACTTTTGCAAATATCAGACGCACTTCTCCTAAAAAAGATTTCGAGAATGCAGTGATTCTTCAAATCAACTGCGACTTAAAATTCGCATAGAAAATACCAGTTGAAAAGGTCAACAAACAATATTTAAATAAGTTGGACTGATAAATCTAACATTTAAGCAATGAACATCTCGCAAACAATGAGGAAAAGTTTCAAGTAAAACCTCAACTTCAACAGAAAAGCGAAACTTCAAGGTGGAAATGCAAGATAGCATTCTTGAAAATTTATTTTCTATTCACAGTAAAATGGTGACCCTAATATTGCTCGCAGGATAAATCCAACTCAAAATAATTCAATGTTAGCTTTTTTCGCAGTTTTTCAACCCGATGCGTTTAACTTGTGGAGATTTCGTCAATAAAAAATTGTGCGCAAAAATTTTCCCCGAAAGAGTTACAGCAGAATTTCAATAATTTTGCGAAGAAAATGAGTCGTAACTGAAGCATTGAGGTTCATCGTACTATGAAATAAATTCTACAGCAACATAAATAAATCCCATTTCCGGAGGTCTCACCGAATTTTGCTGCTTGCCCAACGATTTCAGAACATTCAAATCGCCAGGTGAAGATTCCTTCTGTCTCACTAATTCAGAAACGGAATCGCTCATCTCATTGGCACATCTTTTTAAGGCATGCTCTCTTCTATCTAACGTAACTTTCAACTGTAAAAAAAAATACACAAGAGTCAAAGAGAATCTTTTTTTTTATAAATCAATTTTCACGCACCTGATGATACAACTGACGACATCTCTCACCAGCATCAACAGAACCTCTGAAGGACTCCGTAGGAATCGTCGAGTTCAAAGCATATACTATCTTGTCGTCAACAATTCGCATCTTCCTCAAAATATCCTGAAAATATTCCATTTGAACTTCGGAAGGAAAAAAAAAACCTTCACGGAAGGAAATTCACCTGAAAGGCGAGAAAATCATTGCAAGGAGCATTTTCGATGGCAACCTCGGGTTCGGGTGCAACAGGAACATTGAGCGGCATTTTCCGATTCGAGGAGTTTCTAAAAAATGAATTGGCGAAAATAGTTCCTGGATCGAAAAATATAGAAGGCAGCTTCGACATTCGGGCACATCACAAACACAAAGAATCTTATTCCTCTAGAAAATGAGAAAAACAGATTCTACGATCAAATAAAATTTAATGCGTTCAACGAAAACACCACCTAATTTTTCGAAACGAAACCATGAAAACAAGACATCGCTGACCCCTATTCCTCTCGCGTTTGAGGCATTCCATCTCTCAAGGAAATTATAAAGTTAAACAGATTTTATGAAAACAACGTAATGCGTTTGACGTGAACACCGCAAAAAGTTTGAATACGAACCGTACAAAAAAAGCACTCGATCACATTTTTGCGCGAACTCGCTCTGTAAAATTGAAAATAATTCCGCGTTCATCCGAAACAGAAGAAGCTTCAAGCTCATATGAACATGCTTCTCATTGAATACCAAGAGCCTTTCGCAGTTCGTCGCAAAGCGCAAGACGCCCCTCTCTGAAAAAGAGTGAAAAATAGGCAAACTTTTATTTAAAAAAAAAAAAAAACAACAACCTCGAATCAAAATACAGTACCGTCGATTAGAACCTCGCTCCAACTTGGATTCGAAGTCACGAAGACAATTTTCCATCAGCATGATTTTACGCGGCGTATCATCGTCTTCTTCATCATCATGCTGCGGCTGAGATTCGCCCGAAGCAGAAATTTTCCCAGAAATCTGTTACGAAATGTCTTTTATACCGAAGTTTCAAGTGTGAAAAGAATCACAATCCACTAACCGATGCACGCATGTATCCGACGTAGTGATAAGTTTCCTCCGCTATTTTTTCGTATCTGTGGGAATCAAAGTTCATTTCGGAAATGGGGCAAAGCAATAGTGTCATGCGCAAATACTGGTAAAAAACAGTAGAATATCAATAACTTGAACTACCATACGTCGAATATTTTCTAGTCCCTTTCAGAATTTCCTTGGAAACAATACGTTAAAATCGTCCCCATCTGGGAAGGCGTTCCCTCTCAACCCTCCATAACTCCATTTTCCGAGAGGACTTTTAGCTATTATTTTAATGACACAGCAAAGGGAAAAGCAATAAAAATGAAACTTTCGTGTTTTGAAAAGAAGTGAATGACAAATCGCGCAAAATAAACCCTTGCCTCCAAGGTTAGCATCCTGTAAACTCATTCAAGGTCTAGAAAGTTACCAATTAAAATTTCTCGTAATTCCTTCTTTCTTTCCCCAGACAAAAAGTCTTGTTTTCCTGACTCGAATGTTCGCTAGTCCCTCAAAGTTAGTTCGACTGTACTGTACTACACCAATTAATCGTCGATTCAACTTTTTCGATTGAGTAACACCATGCTTCAAGATTTTCGTAAAGGAATGACTCTTTTCAAGCCTCACCTTTTCAAATACTTCCAGAGATGATCAACGGGGTCTAGTTCATGACCTGCGTGAATCAGTTGATCATTGATCTTCCCACAAGCTTTTATTTGCGCCATGATTTCGTCATATTGACCTACGAATCGAAATCATGAAGATGACAGTCGAATCGCAAAAATCAGAACTCACAATTGAGATACTTTTCTTCGTTTTTAGCCGCGTATTCCATCAAGCTCGACGTACTTTCCTTCTCCATGGAATGGAACTTCTCCAATTTTTCTTCCCATTGCTCGAGAGAAAACTGAACAGATGATAAATGCTGATCACAGCGCAAACGTTTAGCTTGACATAGAATGTTCACCACTTACCTCAACTTCAAATTGCGTCGACATATTTTCCTTACTCTTGCTGGAAATAGAACAAGCTACTCAAACTGACGAATAAAGTTTAAAAAAAAAGTAAATCAATCAGGGCACTTTCTCCAGCTTACGACACATGCAAAATCACAGAATAACTGACCAAAAGAAGTAATCATATAAATATCAAACCACCTCGCTAAATTTTTTAAATACAGCACAGTAACGTCGAGTTCAAAATTTTCCCTTACACTGGGGCCAATCGGGTGGTCCGATAAATTTAATAATCGATCACCTCGATGCAAAAAATATTCAGATCTAAGTTACTGAAAACGACCTCGACTGACAAAATCCCACCGCGCTGAGAATCTAAATATTTTGAAAAATGAGTTTCTTTCAGCTTGCCAAATGATTCGAAGAAATGATAATTTATGCGTTTGAAATTAGTGGGAAGGATCAAGCCAGAAGTTCTACCGAAGACCTGGGTCTACGACTAAGGAGAAACCTAAATGAAGATTGGATGTTTTCCTCAGATGACAGTGGGTTTTAAGACCCCTCCGTGCGTAGAATAATACGTCAGATACAATGCACATAGATGCTCCAATGAACACACCAGGCATTTACTTGATATATTCAATTTTCTCCTGGCGATCATTTCGAACAGTTGCAACTGAGGAAAAAACCGAAAAGAAAACTGGGGAAAATCCTAGAGAAAAAGCGAAAAATAACTTCCCACTGATTTTCGAAATGAGACAGGAATGCATCAGAAAAGGTCAAGAGAATTCTCCAATTTATTTTAACTCGCACCACTTTCTTTTACCTCCCCTATTAGAGGCAGGCTTACATTCCCTTGAACCCCCGAGGTCCACTGGTTGTAAGAAACTGGCCTTCATTGGAGACTTGGCGATTATTGGGGCATTTACGGTAATTCATACACCTTAATTCTTCCACGTGAATTTATCTCAGAATAAAGATAGTTTCAATTCTTCTGTACAGAATTTGATTACTTTTCATCACTGTGCTTCTACAAAGCAAGAGTTACAAGTGTGAACATTAAATTACATTTTCAAAGAACGAGCTAGTTTCAAAAAGCTCATGAGAAGGTAAAACCTTTCAATGTTTCCATACGCATTGAAGATAAATCCGTTTTAAATCTGCCTAATTTCGAGACATCAACGAAGGACAGGGCGAAATTAGTAAACACATCCCGTCTAATATCCCCTAAACATTGACCCACACCGGCATCTGAGAAAAAATTCGTAAGAAATAGAATCATACAAAAAACTTGTACTGAAATACGCCGAATCCTCGAGAAAGGCCCCAATTGATCCTTGAATGAAATAAAACAACCTCGATCAAGAGGTTGAAGCAATGCAAAAAATACGTCTATCATTCTCCTGTAAACAATAATACCCTTTTACACGTCGACGCGAACATACCACAGGATCTCACAATCAAGCGAAGATTTGATGCGATGTCGAGCCCCGCCACACATGAGCTTTGTACTCTCGCACAAGCACTTCCACGCCACGCTTAAAGCATGCATTCAAAAGCTTGTGACGCGAGAGCACACCGAAACGAGAGTATATCACACGATTCATGTCAAACACCGAGAAAATAAAACAAAATACCGCGCCAACAAAATTGCGAACTAGAAAAATATTCCCCAAAATCACACCAGTTGGCATCACGAACAACACGATGAGGAACCCACGGAAGGGCTGTTCATTTGAATCGTATTTTCTTCGAATTGCTTGTCGAGCTTCTCTTCACGCTCAACCCAACGCTCAACGGCCATAGAGAAAGCAGCCTCAACGTTAGTAGCGTCTTTAGCACTCGTCAATACATACGGAAGGCCACCGTGAGATGAGCACCATTTCGCGATATCGTCTTCTGTAACTTCCCAGATTCCAGTAGGCAGATCTTGCTTGTTGGCAACAACTACAAATGGATAATTGCTCGCATTTTTTATGTCCCCGTACGCGACGAATTCCGTCACCCAGTTCGATAAATTGTCAAAGGATTGTCGTTCGTCCACGGCAAACGTGAGCAAGCAAATATCTGCCCCTCTGTAGAATGGGGTTCGGAGACTCTTGAATCGTTCTTGACCCGCAGTATCCCAGATCTAAGAAAACGCAACGTTTCATCATCCACCGAATTCCGATTGAAGTGGTCACGGTGGCGGACACACGTACAGTGAAATAAACGAACCTGAAGCGTGTAAACGGAATTCTTGACTGTGATGTCCTTATTGAGAAGCTCAACACCTAACGTGTGCAAAGAATTTTCTTCGAACCTATTGCTCACATACCGCATCATCAGGCACGATTTTCCGACTCCTCCATCCCCGAGAAGAACAACTTTGATGATATTATTCCTTGGTGGCCGCCTGACGCTGTCAGTCATGTCGTTGCACTCTTACATCAAACACAACTACCGCATATCACAATCAATCTGTAAAATACGTCGATCCTCATGAGCACGGGCATCGAATTCCCGATTCCAATGAAAGCACTTCCTCACATGGCAACACGAATCGTTCATCGATCCTGAATAAGCTGAATGAGCACTAAGGTGGGCGCCATATTGTAAGTGTCTCATCTAATAAAATCAAAGCACATTTTTGCAAAGTATCCCACAGACTACAGAGAGATGCAAGGACCCCTTTCTGTGGAGCACCTCTTCCCACAAAAAGTCTTGGTCTCTTCCCCACTGCACCCCCCATCCCATCTTTCCCCATCCCCATCACTCTCTCCTCCAAGCACACCCATGATGGACTTCAGGGGTAGGGTTCACACCAATGATATGAAAACCACTTTGATTGAAAAATCAAGAGCATCTATTCAAGACCTTGGCAAAATCAACCCCAATGGCAATATCACAATAGTCAACAAGTTCTAGTTTCAAATTATCATAAGAAATACGCTGGTGCAAAGCTTCCCAGAATTCTTTCACTTCTGAGCCAACATGAAAATCAAAGTGCCTCAATTGCCCCATAATTCTCAACCTTGGACAATTTTCTATTAGGGCATTAAACGTCTGTTCACTTAGATTCGAAAATTCTTGAACCATAAAGACCTCTAAATTTTGAAGATGTATCTTCTTTTCAAGAATTGGCTGCAAATCCGCATCTTTTATCTTATACAAGTCAGAGCTGGTTTTGTGCTTGAAAACAAATTCTCTGAGGATGGGAGAACAAGTGATGAGATTGAGAATTGTGAGTAGCTCATCTGTGCGAATTCTGGCAGTGTCTAATCTAGGAAAATAATTCATTCCTGAATCATCCATCAGCAAGCAAAAATATCCAATAATTATTTCAATATTTGGACAGTACTCTGAAAGCAAGTTCAGGTCAACAGGATTCACTGCGTCCGTTATTTCCAATTTAGTCAAAGACTGTCCTTTCAGTTCCACAAAATTTAAAAAATCGTCAACGTCAACGCGGAAATCAAAATCAATAGATAACTTTTTGATTCCATCAAATTCTGTCAGTGCAGAAACGCAGTCTGCCCTGGTAGAAACAGCAGTCAGGTTGGGACACACTTCATTAATTTTCTTTGCAGTTTCCCCTGTCAGCTTTACATCATAAAGGTCCTCCAGTTTCAACCTAAGCTCTTTGTCAGCAGCAGCCATAGAGCATATCACAGAGCCGACATTATTCCCGTAGAAAAATCCTCCAAGAGAAATCAGTTTCTTGGCATGCAACAAGAGGCTCTCCACTCCTTCCACTCCAACATCCGTGTCTTTGATACTCACAACTTGAAAGTTCGGGACACAGGTGTTGACCATTTTGACGCCATCTTGAATTTTGTAGACCAAAGCATTCACGCCATTAGAAGTCACTTGCCAGCTCTCTGACACATCAACGTGAGTCAAGTTGTCGCAATGCTTCCCTAAGCTCTCCAGAATCTTGTCATCACAAGAACCGATCATGGTGAGTTTTGTCAGAGCTGCCATTTTTGATATGAGCAGGGGGAAACCAACATTGAACAACGGAACATAGTAGTGTTCTGTCAAACGGTCGAATTTGGCAGCAAAACTCAATTCCGCAAGTTGAGGCGCAATATTGCATCTGCAAAATTATATGCATCACATTCTGATTCATACCAGCAGCAATGGGTTGTATTGTTGCTGGATTCATGCACAAATATGCTTCATAAAATTCATACAGCAAATCATACACAACAATATATTCCCCCTTGGATTAATCATATTACGGTGTATACATTATATATATATATATACAGATGAACCTCAATAAGTCAAACCTCATCCCTAAGTCGAATTCCTCCCTAAGTCAAATTAAAAAAAACTATATTTGCTTTTTTAAGCAGGGATCCACTTGAAAATATGTCAGCATTTTATGAACAGCTCAAGAAAGTAAGAAACAATGTCCTATGTCCCAATAATGAAACTTTTTACACGCACTGATGGTTTATTCCTGTTTTTTTCTGCTGGGTTCAAGTATCTCCTCGTATAACTGACGCTTTTCTTTTATATCTGCTCTTTCTTATTACCAATACCATCTCCCTATGTAAACTTGTTTAAGCAAATTCACGCACGTCCGCGGCTTCGATTCATCCAACAATTCACTGACCTGTCCAAGACACGATACAGCGCCATGACATCATCCAGCCAGAGCTTCTCTTCCACTCTGCCCGGCTCAAAGAACCGCAAGCGCTTCACACAGAGGCGGGGATCAGAGGCAGCGACCAACATGTCAAAAACCGAGAAGATGGCGTGTGGTCCGCAACGACGGTTCAACCGTACCAACACCTTTTCGCGGAGAGAACTCGGAAGTCGGTCGGTGAACGACGCCCGGAAACCGGATCTCGTATCAGAATCGTTTAAAAGAAGGCTCGCACTCCAGACTAGTGTCACAGCGGCGTGAGTGGCTAATGATTCCAATGACGCTACGTCACGTGTACACGGCATCGTCACCTGGTGTGAGTGCACTTCAAACTGTATTACTGCTAGAAAATGAACACTTGTATATATAGACAGGACGTATATTTGCACAACTCCACTCGCCTCGAAGTTCCTATATACTGTACATGCATGCGCGCTAAGCGTCGAGCAAAAACATCAGCTAGCCAGAGGTTTTGGCCGAGGTCCAAAACCTTGTGACGGCCGAAGAGATTTTCATCTGGCGTCAAAAAGATGTAGCATACGCAAAGAGTTGCTTGAAAGAAGTATAGATGTCAGTGTAGCAAGAATAAGGCGCGTATCGGGAACAGCCCGCCAACAGGAACTGCTGATGTTCGTTCAGTCTGCAATGCGAACACGTCTGATGCAAACGACCAGCAAAAAATTCGAATTTATTGATTGCGAATGTTTGAAATTTTGAAACGAGAATTTTTACAAGAAGGATTGCGTAAAATTGTAATTAGTGCTATTCTTTGCCTTAAAAATGAGTTGACAACTATATATAGTGAGGATGCTGTACTTGGATTGAGGCATTATTCATCTGGCCATCAATTATAGTCTCTCACTTCCCTTCAAGTTCAAAACACATGTACATTTATCTTGCTTTTCTCTTTCCCACTGTGTCGTTAAAAGTAAATTACCGTATAGCTAAAAGGCCTCCAGAAAATTGGAGTGATGGAGGTTTGAGAGGGAAATCCATTGGGTTAAAGCGAGAGGCTTTTAATATATATTTTTTTTAAGCATGGGATTTATGCTGCAGGCAGGGAGTTGAAAAAACAGATCGTCCCAGTGGAAAGTTAAAGTTGTCCTAAAATTTTGGCAGAATATAGAGTACCACTGCCTTTTTATATTTCCAAAGTTCCAAACTGATCTATAAAGGAACAAAAAGAGCTACAGTATTTCCAGGTAACATCAGCAGCAGCCAGCTGAAAAACTTCAACATAAAATAACATATTTTTGGTCTCTGCAGTAGTTATTGGTGCAACATCTAACAACACTTAACAGCATGTCACTACTGTATATCCGTACTCTGTCTACATATACTTATAGATGAATGAAAAATTAATTAATAAGTAATATGCATGGCATTAAGTCATTCACAAAACATGAGAATGTGTAGCTTGGTTCAATAAGCATGATATTCCTAAAACTGTGAAAGCCACT